AGGGAGGTGACCAACCGCACACTCGCCGCTCTACTTCGCATGCTCATCAAGAAGAACATCAAGGAGTGGGAGGAGTGTCTACCGATCGCCGAGTTCGCCTACAATCGCGCGAGACACTCAACTACCGGCAAGTCCCGCTTCGAGGTCGTCTACGGATTCAACCCATTGTCACCATTGGACATTCTTCCTCTACCACTCCAAGAGCGCATCAATATGGACCCAAGTGCATGTGTGAATCATCTCAAGAAGGTGCATAAGGATACAAGGCACACCATCGAGCGCCAAGTACAACGTCTTGCGACCAAGCTCAACATCAACAAGCACCCCATGGTATTCAACATTGGTGATCTTGTGTGGCTACACCTTCGCAAGGACCGCTTCCCTACCGAACGCAAGTCCAAACTCCTACCACGAGCGGATGGACCCTTCAAGGTGCTTGCACGCTACAACAACAACGCCTACAAGATCGACATCCCACGCGACAAGTACTCCGTGAGCGACATCTTCAATGTCAAGGACCTCTCGCCCTACCATGGTGATGAAAAATTTGATCCGAGTTCAGATCTTTCCCAAGGGAGGGGAGATGATGCGGAGCATCCCAAGGTCATCCCCATGGACCTACCATCGTCTCACCAAGTGACTAGCGGACCAATGACATGAGCACGTGCAAGAGCTCTAGAAACCGAGGTGACATCTCTCCACTCACAAGTCCACTTGTTGCACATGAGACATGGCTACTATCTTAAACGGAGACATTGTGCATACTCAGGTATCAAGGAGGTAGCCATGAAGAAGCTAAGGAGCAAGGAGAATTAGAAGAAGAAGATGGACGTGAAGACGGAGAAGAAAGAGAGCTGCGGAAAAAGCTACAGGCTCCGGACGACCGGCCCATCCCGGACGTCCGACCCCTGGAGGTCACAACAGCCCAAGGAACTCACTCTTGCAAACGCTACAGCGGCCGGACGGACGACTCCCAGGCTCCAGACGACCAAACCCCTCCGGACGACCGGCGTACGCCAACAGAACGAAATTAGCAGAAGTCCGAGGCAGACCGAACGACCGGCGACTCGACGACCGGACACCTTCGGACATCCGAGGCCGTGGCGACAGAACCTAATCTACGGATATCCGAAGATCTACGGACGTCCGGACCTCCGCGAGCCTCCGGACAACCGGCGCCTCACAGACGTCCGGACCCTGGCTGCGTCCAGTTTCGGGCCGAAGCCCATGTACCCCTCCACTTCGCCCCTCTTTTGCACTAAGACTATAAATAGACCTCTCCCTCCTCCTAGTTAGGGTTAGCAAAGGATTAGCTCATATTTTGTGTGAGAGCTTTGCTCATCCACTTGGTTACCTTCTCCTCGGAGATCCGCCTCCTCGGAGAACATCCCACAAGCGGATTCAAGCCCCCTTTACGGGACGAACCTCAAGACCTCCTCAAGGAGAAGATCGTGCTACTTGTATCGTCCTTAGTTGACCGTGGATCGTGTGACCTCTTATGTACTCGAGGATCTAGCACATGTGTGACTTAATCTTGTTGGTTTGAGTGTTTCTCTTGTGTTCCCCTTTGTGATTTCCCCTCGTGTTTCCCCTAGTGTTATTCGTGTTCCTCGCGGGATCCGCTTCTTTTGTGAAAGATCGACCCCTAGGGTTCCTACCCTACATCACGCAGTGAACACCACATTTTAATTTGCTTATATCGGTACGCATTTAATTAAAATGAAATTGACTGGACCCAGATGCTTAGAGGATACCATTGGCTAACCGGCTCTCGTATCCGTGTACCGTATTCATAGACGAGTCCGAACCGGCCGGCTAACAAATATTGCGTCCGTTTTGAGAGTCCCCGTTGGAACTGTCGAGTTGGCTGTTTCGATGAAACAATTTTCGTGCGACACATTATAGACACAGTCCCTGATTATGAGAACGGTTTTTCATTTCCTAGAACGAAAGCATGTCCGTCCAAATTCCTAAATCTAGAATACGTATAAAATGAACTTCCGTTCCGAGAACCACATGCATGTACCTGAAGACAAGGTCACCATCAACCCAGGGATGGCCGCGCGACACCAAAGAAAACCCCATGCACGCAGCACGCACGTACACATCGACCCCCCTGCCCCGCCGATGCACGGCACGACCACGATCGGTGCATGCATATGTACGTATCTTGCATACGACACGTCACTCATGCACGTCCAAAAACGCTAATAAGCAGTAAGCACCAGCAAGAAACGCTACACTGCTGAAATGCTGCTGCAGGCCAGGGACGACGGATTAGGCGATTAGCACAGTAAACAAGGACTGATTCGCCACTACCAGCACGGGCGCTAGCTCTACGTGCAGTCCTTGGCCGTGCCACTAGAGAGAGTACCGGCAGCACGGCCACCGCTACGCTACTCAAAGTAAAGTACTGTACCACCAATCCGCCACCCGTAGCTTCCTTAGCCTGGTGCAATGGCGCGCAGAGATAGCCCTGCCGCGACCATCAATGGCCAAGAGAAGATACAGGCGCAGCAGCTTTCTGGCGCCGACGCGACGGAGCCATAAACTAGTCGTAGTCGAATAGGGAGGCCGCGCGGCTCACGGAGCGGGACGTGCGTACAGAGCTTGCCTTTTCACTCCTCCTTCTCTACTCCACTCTAGGACTAGCCGCGCTGTTCCTCTCCGGCCTTTTCATCTCCTCCAAGGCTCCAACACACACCGCAGAGGCAGAGCAGCTGCAGGTGATCGATGCTGGGTATAGGCTACGTACAGGCTAGTTCCTAGGCGGGCAGTCCTTTTTGCGCTGCATGGGGCTCCTGCGCCTCGATCCTCCCAGCCCCCAGCATGGTGAAACCTCTGCGTGCACCGCCTGCTTAATGCTCTCGTGTTTTCATGTCTTAGTGCTGGTGATCAATCACGTGCCTGTACGTAGTCCCATTGTTGCGAGCACGAAGAAGATAGACTAGAGAGGCTAGGTGTCAGTGTGGCTCCACTGGCTGGCTCATCGATGGCGAAAACTCGGACGGCCGAGCCACCTAGCCATGCCTCGTGATTAAACAAAGGCAGCAGAAATAATGATCGACAAATTAGTGCTGGTGATCGATGGCGAGAACTCGGACGGCCCGACGTATCCATAGCATAGAATGATGGATAAATTGGCCGGCGTCGTCTCACCATCATCATGAGGGAGAGATTAGTTTGTTGGTTGGGGTCCTCAATCACATGCTTCCATCTACTTGGTGTTCTACTGGCCCGGTGAGCCAACGAGGGAACCGGATCCTTTAACATTGAGAATGAATGTTAGAGAAGCTACAGTACCCGAACTTTCCTTCTTTCTATTCATATAATTACGGCTAAAATGATTTAAATTAATTTGTAAATTGATGATCTACCGTGTACATTTATAGTAACTACATGCAAACAAATTGATGGTGAAATAAAATAAAATTTAAATTATTTATATCTACAGTAAATACCAACACTAAACAACCGTCTCTAATTTTTCTTTTTCATTTTACACTAGGCTAACACTGTAGCACCGTGACGTTCCTTCTCAATGTTAGAATCCAGTTCCGCCGACGAGATGCGTTGCATCCTCATCGTCTTCGGCTACGGTGGCCGGGCCGGGCCGGGCATGCAGAGCGCGGTGGCCGGATCGAGGCGACTGGGTTTACCATGTTTGGGGTCAAGGCTGCCGCTGGCTCTGCGCAAGGCTGCGCGTCCGTCCCATGCGTGCGTCGATGCATCCACGGCCCGGGGCGGGGCCGCAGGTGGGGGCGGGGTGGCGTGCGCCCAAGGCTCTCAAGGTGGTGACCAGGGACACGACACGCGCAGACCTGTACAGTCCTGTACGGGGTACGCCCGGCGTATAGCTACGTACGTGTCGCGTCAAGCTTTTCCGGCTCCAGCAGGCACCGGTCACGGATCTGTCGACCGGAGAAGACCGGCCGGCAGGCACGTCACGTTGCGTGACGGGGTCGGCTACCGCCGGTACGGCACGGCAAAGCCGGGGGGCGGTCCACGGCTGCCGGCCGGCGACCATACGCGCGCGCCGGCCGGGCGGGGCGCGACCGCCCTACGTGCACTGCAGCGCAGCGCAGCAGCAGCCAGCAGCGGCTGACGATGTGCACTTGCCGTGTGCGTCGCTGCTGCCGTGTGCGCGCGCAAAAGGAAACGAACACTGTGCGCGCGCTCCAAGGTCGCCGCTCCCGGCATGCACGGGCTCACCTGCACTGAGAAAGTCAGAAACATCTCCACACGCAGGAAAAAACAGTGTGTTCCAATCAAATCACCAACTCAGGAATATTTTCTAGTAATTCCTGCGAAACTCTTGGATAAAAAGATTGTGTAGAGACATGAAAACACGAGAGCAGGAAAAACTCTGGGCGGATAAGATGAGTAACCGGCCATTTGTTGGGAATGTCACTTATCTCCCCGGCAAGCTGAACCACACCACGAACCGAAATCACTCAGGCTCATGAGGCCACATCATATGGACACGCCCAGAGACAGATGAGAGGAGACAGAAGCAAGGGACAGGTCAACGAGCGATTAATGGGAACCGCAGCCCTGTGACCAGACAGCTCCAACACCCATGTGACGCTTGTCCCGATAGCACCACCACATCATTAACGCAAATCCTAAAAACTAATCAGTGTACTCCTTGATCAATAATCCGTGTCAAAGCCACGACACGATTCACAGACGTCCCTTAAGTAGAAAATGGAGTGACAAGTGTAACCTCGAATAGTTGTAGGGCACAAGGCAGCACTAGCACATGGGAGATTAACAGTGCTGAGAAGCGTAATTAACAGTTGATTGTACAAGGGTGCACTGGCAGCTAATACTAGTAGTAGTAGGCTAGGTCAATGCATGCATGCGCTAGCGCTAGCTAGGAGTCGTAATTATCAAGGGGTTAACGTCGCCCCCGGCGCCACGAGACGGCCGGAGGAGGTTTGCCTCCAGCCGCCGGTGTTGACTCGGGGAGGCTACGACGACGTCGGCCGGTCGGTCGGTCAGAAGAGGTCGAAGCGCTGCGTGTCCGGCTTGCGCGACGCCGGCGTCTTGCAGGACTGCGACCGGTGCAGCGGGGCGCTGGGGACGACGGGTGGACGCGATGACCGGAGGAGCGCGAGGTTGAGGCTCTTGAAGAAGGGATGGGCCTTCACGTCGGCGGCGCCGTGGCGGGACCCGAGCCGGGCGGCGGGGTCCTTGGTGAGCAGGCGCGCGATGAGGTCCCGCGCCGCGGCGACGTCGGCGTGGCAGCCAGTGCCGGAGGAGGAGGTGGGGAAGGTGAGCGGCGCGCGCACTATGTTGCGGAGCGTGTCCTCGTTGGTGGCGCCCGCGAACGGGGTGCGGCCGTGGAGGAGCTCGTAGAGGAACACGCCGTAGGCCCACCAGTCCACGGCGGCGCCGTGCGCGCCGCCGCCTGCCACCTCCGGCGCCACGTACTCGTGCGTGCCCACGAAGGAGCACGACCGCGCCGACACCGGCTCCGCCACGAACCGCGGGGGAGACGCCGCGCACCGGCGACGGTGCCTCCGCCGCCTGAAACGTATCGGGAAGCAGGACGCGCTGCGCGGCTCCTCCTCTTCCTCCTCCTCGGGGACGGCGGGCTCCAGCGACGGCGACGACGTGGACTGGAGCGACAGGTCGAAGTCGGTGAGCATGATGTGGCCGTCGGCGCGTATCAGCACGTTCTCCGGCTTGAGGTCGCGGTAGACGATGCCCATCATGTGCAGGTACTCGAGCGCCAGGAGCACCTCGGCGGCGTAGAAGCGGGCGGAGGGGAGCGGGAAGCGGCGGGAGGGCATGCGGTGGCGGAGCGAGTGGAGGTCGCCGCCGGGGCAGAACTCCATGACGACGCAGGAGAAGCGCGGGGCGGCGTCGAAGTCGGCGAAGAGCGTGGGGAGGAACGGGTGGTCGAGGAGCCGCAGGATGCGCTTCTCGGCCGCCGCGCGCTCCAGCTTGTGCTTCTTGGCCACGGCGCGGCGGTCGACCACCTTCATCGCGTACATGCACGACGGGGCCTCCGCCTCCGCCGAGGCCCGGAGGCGGCAGAGGTACACGGTGCCGATGTCGCCGCCGCCGACGCGCCGGACGAGCCTGAAGTCCGCGGGGCCGAGCGGGGTCGCCGGGGAGGCCGCCGAGAGCGCGCGGATGGCCGCCCACGCCACGTCGCCGGAGCGGTGCGGCCGGAACGCCGCGGACGGGCGCGGGGAGCACGCCGCCGCCGACATGGCCGCGGACGGGGTGCAGTCGAAGGAGAGGCGGGAGAGGCTGGAGCAGCGCGCGAGGCTGCCGGCGCTGCTGGCCGAGCTGAGGCTCGAGTTGGGCGCCCCCGTGGACGACGCCGTGTCCAGGTCCGACAGCCCCTCCTCCGCCGCCAGAAGCAGCGTCCCCTCCGCGGGCGGCTTCCTGGGCACCGGAGCTCGCACCGCGGCCACCATCAAAACGCACGGGCGGCACCTTTCTCCTCGCTCGCTCGCACAGTGGCACACAGTGAGACGACGACGGAAGCTTCTTCTCCTCTCGCTCTGCTAGTGCTTTGTTGCTTGGACGGTTGTTGGGTCTCCGGGCGTTTTATACCAACGGCGACGAGGCACGCACGCCTCGATGACACGCGGGCCCGGCGTGCCCCGCCGGTCAGCGCCACCGGCAGAGGCTCGTCAGACGGTCGTCTGGCATGGGGACTAGGCCCGTGGGCAGTAGGGGCATGGCCGCCATTTCGCAGCGCCGTAAGAAATCTACTTTTTACCGTACTCCGCAGGGGAGCTTAGTAATTCAAATCAAACTGGGTGTGGCCTGCGAATGGGTGGTTGCCAGATGGAGCGAGCGAGACAGCCACCCACTGGGCACCACCGGGGATTTGGGTTGGGTGTGCCGGTACGTGCCGGTGCATGCGACATGCACTGTATGTTGGACGTGCGTCGCTCACTCCTACTCCTACTGCAGTGCGCTCCTACGACGGTCTGCTAGTGCCAGTCAAGTAGTAGTAGCAGTAGTGTGAGCAGTGTAGCGTGTCTTGCTGGTTCTAAAAGGGTTTTGTATGAGAGATACGCATGCATGTACCGATCCGTCCTGGTTGGTGCGAGCTACGTGCTCCCGTGCATCGTGCGGGACGGTCGTGGGGCAAGGGAGATGTGCGCTCTGCTTCTTTTTCTTTGGTCTCGTGCGGCCGTGTGGGGTCTAGGATGGTGACACTGTCTCTTCCGGTACATGCATGCATGCATGCATGTGGATCTCTAAACGGGGTTCATGGATCCAATTTGCACCGCACCGGTGGTGGTACGACTCTAAAGCTTTTGGAGTTTGGCCGGACGTGTTTTCATTCCGAGAAAATAGACGTTGTCATCATCAGAAACCGTGCGTGTATCGCATATATATCACCGAAACGGCTTACAAACCCAAAACCATGTTACCGAACCGAGAGGCGACACGCAGCGATGCGTTCCGAGGAAACGGGTTACCCCGTTGTGCATTTCTGTCTCTTTGAACATTTTTCTATCAGCCTAGTTGGAAAAACGGGTTGCTACACCAGAGAGGAAACGGTGACCCCCTCCCCTGTTTGAGGCTTCAAGGTAATATTGTGCTGAGCTTCGCTACCAAACTGAGCACACGTTTCTTCTTCTTCTTCTTCTCCTCCTCCTCCTCCTCCTTCTTCTTCTTCTTCTTCTTCTTCTTCTTGCGGGAATGAGCACACGTTTATTGGCTTCGACGTGGCTCTGGTGCGCAGGACCCGTCTAAGCCAATTCCGACCAAAAGCTAAGACAAGGTTTTGATCCTTTCATTTTCTTTTCTTTTTTGCGGGCGAAAAATAATTTTCATTTATTACTCGGGATCAATGTCATTCTTACATAAGTTAGGCACCACACCTGGTCCTGAACCCAGCCATACAACCGTGCGTTTCTCAATTCTACCAAAAGCAGCCAGGTAATGGCTAATGCCATTATGCCCTCTACGTATATGAGCTAGTTTAACTAATCTCCCGTCTCCCAGCAGTCTCCTAATCTGGTCAGTAAGCATGGCATAACAAGACCGGTCCCTCTCCACTACCTTGATCATATTGAGCGAGGCTGTCCGTCTCCATTTCTATGGGTTGTTGCGTCCACTGCAAAGCAAGGTTCACGCCCTCCATACGGACAAGGAGTTCAGCATCTAGAGGCTCTGCACATGACCTCGGTCCCCTACATCTTCTTGAAATAGGCTTTCGCCCAGCTTTATAAAAAAAGCAACGGTTCATACATCGTCAGTTTCACAACATACGACAAATAATGGCTGGGGCCACAACACAATTAAGCCCAAGAAAGCATAAGAGAAATAGGAAAAAAAACACCTAGTGGCGGCCATAAAGCGGCCCTACGAGGAAGATAGTCGACGCACCGAAGCCAGAAGGTCGTCCATCATCAAGCCAAGACGGTCGCGATCACGCTGCCTCGAGAGCGGGTGCCAGTGCTGCAGGAAAGCAAGGAATTTGAAGGAGGAGTCAGACGCCTTCCTCAGAAAAACCTTCTCCATCACCATCTTATTCCTAGTAGTCCAAAGGGTCCACGACATCGCCGCAAAAATAAGCCAAAAAAGGCGGCGATGACGTGACAGCTGTACAGCTCTAAGCTGGAGGAACTCGGCGAGATTTAGGGCCTCCCAATCAGGCCCCATGGCCTCGCGGACATATATCCAAAGAACTCTCGTCGCGGTACACGAGAATAGGATATGGGTCCCAGTCTCTGGTACCTCACCAACCATCACCAGGTCCGTGCCGCTTAAGAACCTCAGTCCACGAGGGGAGGCGGTCCCGTAGTAATTGCCAAACGAAGATCTTAATCTTTAGAGATACGGGGGCTTTCCATGATGGGGATAGCCAAGGGGTGGCCGGCGACCGGCAGAGGGCCTGGTAAGCCGTGCTCACCGAAAACTCTGCCGATGGCGCGAGCCGCCAGGATACCGTGTCCGGATAGTCCGGGAGCACGAGTGGGAGGGCATCCCACAGTCTAGTCCAGTCATTATGTTCGCCCTGTCCAAAGGTGCGACAGAAGCCGATGCTCCACTATCCAGCTTGGAAAGCCGTAGCCACGAGGACCGATAGATCCGCACAAATCGAGAATAGGCCTGGGAGGGGTTCAACATTCGGCCAGGGGTCCAACCAGAATTGGATCCCTTTCCCGTTCCCCAAGGAGAAGGAGATCCCTAGGAGAATCCCCTCCTTGATCCGTTGGATGGCCCGCCAGAATTGTGAGCCCTCCAACCGATCCGGTTGCAAGCGAAGAGTGGGTCTCCCCTCAGGTACTTCGCTTTAATGAGTTGCAACCATAATCCTCCCCCGCCTTGTAAGATGCACTATACCCATCTCAACATGAGCGCCGTGTTCATCCGACCGGAGGCAATGATGCCCAGACCACCACGGTCCTTAGGCATGCAGATATCTGCCCATTTTACCACAGTCCCCTACATGATGAGAATATAATCTCACCGAAACTATCCCTCAGGATCATTCCAGCACCAGCCATTCCTATCGTTGCGCAAAACGAGCCATCGACATTGAGCTTTGTCCTGCAGCCGGAGGAGTCCATCATGGTCGCAGCCCAGCCGCACCTGTGACGCTCCCGATTCAATCGTACACTAATCATACACGCAAACGTGTACGATCAAGACCAGGGACTCACGGGAAGATATCACAACACAACTCTACAAATAAAATAAGTCATACAAGCATCATATGACAAGCCAGGGGCCTCGAAGGCTCGAATACAAGAGCTCGATCATAGACGAGTCAGCGGAAGCAACAATATCTGAGAACAGACATAAGTTAAACAAGTTTGCCTTAAGAAGGCTAGCACAAACTGGGATACAGATCGAAAGAGGCGCATGCCTCCTGCCTGGGATCCTCCTAAACTACTCCTGGTCGTCGTCAGCGGCCCGCACGTAGTAGTAGGCACCTCCCGAGTAGTAGCAGTCGTCATCGACAGTGGCGTCTGGCTCCTGGACTCCAACGTCTGGTCGCAGCAATTGGGTAAAGGAAAGGGAAAAGGGGGAGAAAAGCAACCGTGAGTACTCATCCAAAGTACTCGCAAGCAAGGAGCTACACTACATATGTATGCATTGGTATCAAATGGAAAAGGGGTATCATATGTGGACTGAACTGCAGAATGCCGGAATAAGAGGGGGATAGCTAGTCCTGTCGAAGACTACGCTTCTGGCCTCCTCCATATTGCAGCATGTAGAAGAGAGTAGATGGTAAGTTCACCAAGTAGCATCGTGTAGCATAATCCTACCCGAAAATCCTCTCCTCGTTGCCCTGTTAGAGAGTGATCACCGGGTTGTATCTGGCACTTGGAAGGGTGTGTTTTATTAAGTAACCGGTTCTAGTTGTCATAAGGTCAATATACAACTCCAAGTCGTCCTGTTACCGAAGATCACGGCTATTCGAATAGATTAACTTCCCTGCAGGGGTGCACCACATTTCCCAACATGCTTGATCCCCTTTGTCCAGACACACTTTCCTGGGTCATGCCCGGCCTCGGAAGATCAACACGCCGCAGCCCTACCTAGGCACAACAGAGAGGTCAGCACGCCGGTCTAAATCCTATGGCGCAGGGATCTGGGCCCATCGCCCATTGCACACCTGCACATTGCGAGGGCGGCCGGAAGCAGACCTAGCCTAGCAGGCATTCCAGTCCAATCCGGCGCGCGCCGCTCAGTCGCTGACGTCACGAAGGTTTCGGCTAATACCACGACGTCGAGTGCCCATAACTGTTCCTGCGTAGTTGGTTAGTGCGTATAGGCCAGTGGCCTGACTCAGATCAAATACCAAGGTCTCGTTAAGCATGTTAATTGAAGTATTCGCGGACGCCGACCAGGGCCAGGCCCACCTCTCTCCTAGGTGGTCTCAACCTGCCCTGTCGCTCCGCCATAGTGTAACAGTCGGGAGCCTTCGGGAACTCAGGCCCACCTCTACCGGGATGGAGCCACCTGCCCCTTCAGCCTCCAACATCGGAATCACTCGCGAGTACTCCTACGA